AGCTGAGCGGGCGTTAGAACTAGAACTTTCAGCGGCTGTAGCACGCTCCTCGCTCGCTGTGGAGTCGCGAGAGTGGGACAGTCTCTTAGCTTGGGGGCTGGACTACTTGCACAAGGAAGGACGATCACGAATTACTTGAGCGCGAGGGCTCCTTACGTAAAAGTGGCGTAGACGTACTTAGAATACAATTACCTTGGAGAGAGAGGCAGACCCAACCAGGACCTTCATCTCCTGAGACTACGGAAAGGTCCCTACATCCATAACGGTAATCACGGCTTTGCACAAGCGGTCTCTTCCTCGTCCTCCCAAGGAAAAGCGCTAACAGCAGTAGCGAGGAAGTTCGGGAACCTGGGCTGTATCTGATCTCAACGGTGTGATAAGGCGCTTGCATCCTGTGCGCCATATGGGTATGCCTACCCATACTATTGGTGATAAAAAGCTTACCCTGGAATGAAGGAGATGGCTTCCCTGACAGGGTTTCTGGTTACCAGCCTTTCATGCTATGAGACCGCTCTGAAGGGTGTTCTCATCAGTCTTTCGCCACGCATGCAAGGCCCATTCGCAGTCGTTTTGCCTGTTGGTACGATATTTGGCATAGCCTGACCGGACAGCGTTTTTGTCCACCCTGACGGCACTAGGTAAGTGCTCGGCCTGAAAAGAATCCTCAGATTGAACTACCCACACAAAGTGGCAGCACCAAACAATGGCAAGTTCTGTGAGCTTCCTGATTGACATTGTCGAGAGCTCGCTTCTGCTTAGTATGTTTGCTGGCCTAGACCCAAAAGAACCGTAGGTCCCAGGGACAATCCCAGAGGCAGTGAAATAGACTGCATGAGCAAGGAAGGACCCCTACGAATTGCAAGCGCGGCGACTGTCTTTGAATGTGTAGAACCTCTGGATTTCTTCATGTAAGGATCACTGGCTCAGGAACTGGAAATGGGAAGCTTTTTGGTAGAGAAAAGGAGCTATTCAATCCCTACTGTGCAAAATTTCAAGTCAGAACCTTACCAGAGTTTGTTGGCACTCCAGACAAAAATAGGTTTACAGCAGAAATTTCACCGCCTGGGGATCGAACTTGCCGCACACGATGGCTCCCGCCGCCCTCACCACAAGTGCCAGTGCTGGTGCTGCCACGACTGCATGAGTACCAGCTGGTATTTTGTTCACTGTTTGACCTCCACAGAGGAGTCCAGCATCAAGTGGCCAGTCATGGACAATCTGGCCAGTTTCGGATTCCTTGACATGGCTGGGATTTTATCTAGCGAGGAAGGATGACGCTTACAGGCACAATTAACTTCGATTTCATGGACTACGGCTTACCATTGTCCTCTATTCGTTTGTGGTACGATTCTCTATAAGATTCGTGAGAATCACAGTTCTGACTGATATTGTTCAAGACGATTTGGCCCGAAAATATTTTAGTAAGCACGGTCAACCAGCTAGAAAGCTGCGCGAGGCACTACCTTCTAGCACTGCGCTCCTCCTCTTAGTCGCAAGTTGTGATCTGAAGAGAAATGTTGCATGTCCGGACGAATTGCACATTGATCGTGACTACTTTCAGCTATCTGTGGTCCGGTACAAGCCTGCGTCCCAGCCGCACCGGCAATCGTTGCTCCACCTCCACCACTTTATCAGGTGAAGACGAATTTTTTTTGTAGTTTTCAATCAGTTTCCAATTACTCAAAGTAATTTGTATATGTGAGAGTCCTCCCTTTTTGCGAACACTTATAGTGGAAAGTTTCCATAATTTTAGCCTCCCCCTCCCGCATATGTTGCACCTCCTGTACCCCAGCCTCCAGTTTATCAAGGGCCACCACAGGTATCTTTGCTTGGTACTTTGATTTATATCCTCAATATTGCAACAATTTGCGGAACCTACAAATCATTCTAATACTTTCAGTTCCAACCAGAAGCACCTCCTGTAGGACAAGTAGCACCACAGCAACCTCCCCCAGGCTATGTGCCAACGCCCCAGTTGAGGCATTTGCTTCTCAAAACCAGCCGGTCCAACCTCAAGCTCAGATGCAGGTCGACCCTCAGCAGGTATGTCACTGGAACTCACAGAAAAAGTTACTTTTTTCAACAGTTTCTCCTAGAGAAGCGGCTTGGGTTAGGAGATCCGAAGATACCTGGAAGCTAGGTCAGTGAAGTGAGGAGAAGGAAGCAAGCCTATTTTCTCAGAATACCAGTATGAGTGGGGCTTATTATCAGTGTAGTGTCCTAGGAGCGGATCCGTTCTCCAAGAGCATTATTCCTGGGTCAAGCACTTATTATTACATGACAGAGCTAGTCCTCCCCGGACATATCCAACCTATGACAGAGCTAGTCCTCCCCGGACATATCCAGCCTAGATCGGGTGAACTTTCGATAGAAAGATCTTCAAAACCAGCTCTCCGTCCGGTGCCCGAGACCCCATGTGGTGATCAACCCAAGGCGAATCTCTTTGATAAGCGCCACGAAAGCATGACCCACTATTTCACTTTTTTTGTGGGAATCGTCCAGGTTGAGACCACCTCGATATCCTGTCCAGGTGAAAGTACAAGGAAGAACGCCTTGTGACAAGTGCGCAAAAACCAGAGAATTGAAGCCTCAGCCGGCAATCGAGATGGATAATGCTGACAGTCCCATGGCGAGGGGGGGGGGGGGAAGAGGATGGGTGATATTTGGCCTCGAAATAACTTTTTCGGATATAGATTTCCATCATTTCGTGTAATATGTCTCACCCCTTAGTCGGTATGGCCAAGCACCTCTTCTGGGTTTCATCGGAAGAATCTCCCACCCACTCCGCACTCCTTCCCAAGATTTGGCAAGGGTGTAGGTGAGTTGTGATAGGGAACGCACCGAGACAGAATATTGCCGAACCATAATGGTTTGTCTCGAAACAAAAAAATAAATAAATAAAACTATAGGAATTAGGACTGGTCTTTCAGGAACAAGCAGTCAATCCCCAACGTGACTTTGGACCAGAACAACGCGATATGCTTATTAGTGTAAGTGCTCGAATTTCTGCTCTTAGAATGTATTTCTTTATTATATTTTTTCCTCGCAAAAGTTCTACAGTAAGCTGGTAAAGGACATGTGACTGTGTTCTTTGAACAAATCTCATTCATGGCCTTTTCTTGTGGCTAACCAACGAGGGAAGCGCAGTGGTCCATGTCATTTCCCCCGTCCGATCAGTGTGGAATGTGCCTTGTCATTTGAAGGATTTGAAGGACCAAGTAGTATGAGTGAAGAATTTTTCCAACCTGATGAAAGAAAAAATTTCTAGGAAAAAACTCCTCGAAAAAGAATAAATTATTAGCTACGCTGTAGAGCGATGAAATTCTAGCGCCTAGTACGAAAATATTGGCTGCACTTTTAAAAAGCTGGAAAGAACCATCTCTGCAAAAAAGAAAAGCTTGTGATGGACCCCTCCTGAAGGGCGTGGCCTAGTGGCCCTTGAGACGTAGTAAAAAGAGAAATGGTAGGCACGTGCAAAATTTGCAAAGAATTTTTTAAACGCCTATTAGTGTTCGATTTTGCGTCAGCACGACTAACGTGGCTCACAAATTTTTCTTGTTTCACCTTTGTATTTTCTGAAACTTCTGAGAGGCCCACCCATAATTTTCGATCTATACTTTGCCCAAGTTCATAATGGAACGAAAAATTAGCGTTGTACTGTCCTCGCCACGGGCGTGGTCATTTGTGGGGTCTGGATCTGCACATGAGGCCCTCAATTTGTCTACTACAAACCTTTCTTTGATGGCACATATAGAATAAAAGCTGTGGAAGCTCGGCACATCACCGCGTTGTGGAAAATGCCTTTGAAATACAGCCCCCCCCCCCTCTTTTATCGTACATTCCTTCTGAACAAATTTTCCCCAATGTGGTCCCCTTCGTTAGGGAGATGTCTATATCAGACATCTCCCTCTTGAAGGGGACTACAAAACGAAACGGGAGAAAGAAATCTCAAGGTGAACTAAGCTCTTCGCCTCCAACTCCAACCCCCCATCCCCTGTGAGTTCCACAACGATAAGGTGCCCCGATAAGGTGCCCTGCATGGAAGGCAACTAACCTCCTTATCCCTGAGCCAGAGTAGGCGTGGCATTTGAACATGGCACGGAACTGGTTACTCGTGGAATATTCCAGTCTGGGACAACTGTCATCTTGTTCTGTGTTGGACAGAGACACGACAACAATTGTGTCAAGATGAAAATATCTCACCAGAAGCATAGACACCTTCATTTAGTTGAAACATGCGGCCACGCCTACCCGATCTCAGGGATTTCGAGTGTACATTGAAGGAGTGGATCGTCATGATCACGACCGTCTTATCATTCCAAAGGACTTTCACAAGCGGCTCCCCAGGGCACGCCCGGCCGTCGGGGGAGAGTTTTTACGAAACATGACGTCCCCCTCTTCAAACATTCCTCCTTTGATACGACCTGCCTTCACATCATACCTGAATGTCCCTGAATGTCTCCAACTTCATACCTTTTTTTCCGGACTTGACCGAAATTTCTTTACTTTTCCCCAATAACGGCCTCAATCAGTGGCACATGACACGGAGGAATAAAAGTCAACGACCGGCGACATTTTTCTCAAATTTTTTCGGAGGTAACTCACCGATTCTCCTCGCTGGGATCCCAGCAAAAGTGCGTTCTTGTGGCTTTCTCCGCGTCTCCTAATTATCACCTGATGGCATTTCGATCTGCAGGCCTTTTATGAAAGCGACACAAAGGGCGTTGCACTTTTTCGTTGGTTTCTGTCAATAAATACCAATCTCATTAGCGAATAATGTGGGATTCAGTGTGCACTAGCTAAAAAGAATTACTGATGGGTGATACGAAAGGAAAGCGGATTTAACTGTTGAAAGCTGCTTGATAGGAAGTGTTTTCAAGGATAGGAATCAAGAATTATCACCAGGTAAAAGAATCCTGGAGCTCTTGCGAGCTCTTGCCAGTTTTCCTGACGCGTAGACTTTCTCCTAACTAACTTCTTATTCTAGAAACCGAACAAGAAGCGGCAGCAGCAGCTGGACAGACCCAACTGAGGAGTGATAGAAGAACAGGACAATTGCTATGGAAATCCGAAACAGATTCACCAACGGTATGTTCTTGCCTCCTCTGCACATTTATACAACGTTCCTGTGACTGGACGTGATGCAGTGGCAAGTGTGCTCTGTACAAGAGACAAATCTCAGATCGGATCTTGCCTGGGCCCAAAAAAAACGTTCTAGGTTCGGTTGTTTGCTACCAGGCCTGCCTTGAGCTAAAACCGCTAGCCTTTCGTACTCATATATCGAACTGACTAAGACTACAAGTTTCATACTAACTTTCATTTTCATAAAAACTGTTTAAAAGCAGTTTCTTTCAGCAATCCCCAATCGGCTCAACGACGGCCGAAGCAGTCGAAGAACGTGTAGTCGACATTGCTAGCCTGAATCTCACCGATGACCCACTCTGCAATTCTGAAGACCTCAGGAAACTCATGCTTGATGTGAGTAACAAACAATATATCTGTTAATCTTCGGCAGTACTTATTTATGGTTTTCAGAACATCGATGAGAATCTGAACAGCTCGAAGCGACTTATTCAGTTGGCAGCAGAAGCGCAATTCGGTGGCCGATTCGATGTGATCTGCGCCAACGGAGATTTCAGGTGGGTGGTAAGGCAAATGACATCGGTCTGTGAAGTTTCCACACAATCCTTTATCCGTTCCTATCCAGAACTGATTCTTGGGGATTCCTAGCGGATCCTGCATGTAGCAGTAGAAGGGGAGCGTCTTTGACCCTGTGAAATTTTTGTTGTTGACTGTGCTCGCTCGAACACGCATATAGCAATACTTTTGGTATGTATATGCCTCTAGTCGGTGTTAAGGCAATGCAATCGGGGCACATCAGCGCGCTGTGAGTGTTACTTGCGTCAGTACTACCCCTACCCAAAAGTTAGTCTCAGTGCGACCCTACTCAAACGGATGGGAAGGCCATCAACGCCCAGTTTTTGAGAATGTTTGCCCGTGCGGGGAGTATGTTGCTTGTTCTAAGAAAGGGTTTGACTTCACTATCTTTCGTTCAACCATCTTCAGCGCTGACTGACCTCTGCGCTTACGATCCCCCCCCCCCCCACTCTATCTAGCAATGAAATACAGTCCCTCGATGGTTCCTACAAGGGTAATGTTCTCTGGACTGCGCGCCATTCCGACACTTGCGGATGCCT